AGACTAGAGAAGCCTGTAGGCTGTGATTGTTGGTCGTCGATTTAGAAAAAAGTAACGGAAAAGTAACGAAAAGTTACTTTCTCAAGTAACGGTAACTGTAACGAGTTACTTTTAAAAATCGGTAACTAGTAACGGTAACTTGTTACTTTTTCTACTCGGTAACGAGTAACTGTAACTTGTTACTTTTAAAAAGTAACTTTCCATTCCCTGGTAAAAACTAAGCTCAAAAAGGATACGAGTCTCTGTAGTAATGATCTAATTTGTTGATGTGTTTTAGCATTTTGCTACCTGGGTAAATAAATGCCTTCATGAATCAATTCGTAGTTATTGTAAAGTCTTGATTTTCATTTAAAGCGCGTCGCAGCTAAAGGATTAAGAAATAAGAAAGTCGGAGGTTTCATAAAAAAGCTACCTGAAATATAAAAGTTTCCTTATAGAGGGGATTCGGTTGGGCACGTTTCAAACCGGTCTTAGATCGGCCCATTTCATGATTGTTGGTATCAACAAGAGCCAATTTGACGTAAGTGTCAGGAGGTTTCGTATCGTTTCCGCCTCCACCACGGAAATGGGAACCCTTGATTATTTCAACTGATAAGCGACCTGTCGTGCCATTGTACGCCAAACCGATTAGGATTTCAGCGACACTGCCTCCCTTCATGCTGCTGCCGTAAGGTGGTATAGCCGGAGAAGCATACGATTGGACCGATTGTTGGGATCCCGTGGAATCGCTACGAGTTAGACTGCTGGTGGTTCCCCAATCCTGTGCCTAGAAAGTGTAACACAATTTCCATCTTGGCAAATTACACTATTTCTAAGTACATTACACATCATCGATTACCAAAAGAGATATCAGTAATAATATTTTTACTTAATTAATACATGGTGTCCAGCAAAATCTGGCTCAATTCAAGGATAATTCTAGGACATTCCAGGAAAATCCTGATTTTTCCAGGATTTATCCATCAATTAATTTTCGTCGATTCGTGCAATATTATATGCTTTGTATTCAAGTTAGGGTTCTATACGAATGAATTAAAACGCTAACAAATTGGGAACAATATTCACTGCTTTATAAATAATATCAAACGAACGTTCTGTCAATAGAACGATTTTTCTACTCTGTTCTATTTTGGATATTAAATTCAAGTTTTCTATTGGTTATAAGTATATTAACTTATTGTACCTTTAAGGAAGGATTTATGTCAAAACACAACTTTTCTTTTTATTATTTTTTTTTTACGCTCTGACTTTTTTAGAATGAAAGAATGATAAATTCCAGATCAGCCCTAAAATTTCAGGGGTTTTTCAGAATACATAAAATTCCAGTATAATTTCAGAATTCAAGGATATTCAAAGGCCGCTGGACATGTTGTTAATAATAATTATACAGATTTTTAGAAAAACTTACCGAGGAAGAAAGTGGGGGTTGAAGAGTTAACCACAGGGTCGTTTCTAACTGGAGATTAATGTGATCGAAAGACACTCTGGCTTCGCCCAGCAATCTTTCCCGACGCATCATTCTGCCACCCCACAGATATACTCTGAGCCGTACTCCCATTGCATTTACATCTTCTGGATTTACACGAGGAAGCAAAAAACTCTCCATGTATTGCGGAGATGTCCCTTGTCGAACTCGTGTCTTACGTCTTTGTTTTTTTGATGGTAGCAAGACTAATCGTACCTGACTGCCATTAATACCAGGAGGATAATTCCGCCCTTGTAAGACGTGAACCTGGGAAAATAATATCCCATTTGATAACCACATAATTAAACAATTTAAAAATTATATAGAAATTCATTATTTACAATACAAAATAAGAAATAACATTTCAGATAATAAATAAATTATATATATTACATATATATTAGATAAGAGAGAGAGAGAGAGAGAGAGAGAGAGAGAGAGAGAGAGAGAGAGAGAGTTATAAGATTAATTAATTAAAGATATTTTCAAGATTTTTATATTCAAATTTTATTTTATTTAAATGAATATTCAAAAATAAAAAAGATCATAATAATAAATATTAAATTGATAATTAAACATTAATTATACGAACTGTCATCTCACGCATTGGAGCATCATACAGGAAAGCGACTTCCAGACTACCAACTTCCTCGGTAGCCACTGTACCCATCGTTGTGATGACATCATTGGTCGTAGAGTCATTTTGCTCAACTTGTATCTCCTGCTCTCGATTATCGAGTATAATGCTAGAAGCTCCAACTTCCACCACGCACTAAAATAGAGTACGTGCTGAATGCAAATCCCTTTTTTGTCTAAGTCTCTGAGAATTTTTTTTATCATTCGAATTCTTTTAAGATTTTTCTTAACAAAAAATGAGAAATCACCTGTTGTTGATCTGCTGGAGAGTGTTCCTCAGTGCAGCTACTGGAAGTGGTCCCAGCATCTACAAACAATAATTAACAGATAAAAAAAATACTTTATAACTATCCATGAAGTACTCTCACTTTTTAATGTTAATATAACAATGCGATGGATATATGTATACAGACTGACATAAAATGGAGTTTTGTAAAAATTATGTTCGAAGTATAGGGACACTATAAAGAGTAAATAGATAATACTTTTCTACATGATTACTGTGCTAGTATGAAGATCGATATAATAATATATCATTATATCACACAGTAATATATGTGTTACAAATATATAAAATGTTAATTACATACTTTTTTAAACGTATCTTTTTTTCAATATAAATTGATTTACTCTGTGCATAAAAATATCAAAATGATCAGAAAACAAATATTTTTATGAAAAGATACGTCAAGATAAAATATAAAATATCTAGTAAAGTTATTGACTTTTTAAATACTTATCTCTAGTGAAAAATTTTCAGAATTTTTGTGCACGAATCGGAAACATTTGCAGAAATATCGAGGAATTCTATTTCGTTACCGTTACTCACCTAAGATAGTCGTTGGTCCGTCCTCCGCTTGGATAGTCAACGTATCCGGCGGAGGAAGTGAACGCGAGTTTAATCGTCGGAGAGCGTCTTCCTCTGAATCGGAACTTGTTTCTGGATCCGAATAAGAAAATGCCTTGCCTAAACAGTAAAATTATATTGATTACTATAAACTATTCCTACCACGAAGAGCCGCGAATATGTTCTAATCTACAAAAACTTGACGATCTATTAGGTGTACAGGGTATTACAGATACATACTAGACATTACGACGAGTTACGCGGCAAACTTTGCATAGCCAAGTGTGGTTTAATAGACAATGACATTGATTTTATAACATAAACTTTATAATATAAATAATAAAATTTTGTAGTATAAAAGGTTATGCGTTTCGCGGATTTCCTCCGTGTCCAGATCCATTCTTGAGATGCCAACGTTTCGTGAACCTTGCAGTCCACTTCATCAGGGCGAGGGGCAGCCTGATACTGAGCTGTTCCTCCAGTCCATTTCTTTTTATATTACGCTGCTTGTTGGGGTGATGGGGATGGGCGGAGAGAGGGAAGGGATTATGGGAGGGGAAAGAGATAGTAGAATTGGTCGGTCTTCAATAACCGGAAGAATGGTCTTCCATATTTTATTTATTGTAGCCATTATCTCTATTTATAAATTGTTAGGGTGTTTTTGTATCTCTATGGTTTCTCTATACTTTCTTGGAAAGTATGATGTACTGTTGACTATTGTAGTCGTTTTGTCAAACAGTATTTGATGTCCTGTTTCGATGTTGTGTTCTGATAATGCCGACTGCGTGGTATGTTTTACTCTGACATCACGTTGGTGTTCTTTGATCCGTAGGTTGACCATTCTCCCGGTTTCTCTGATGTATACTTTCCCGCAGGAACAAGGTATTTTGTATACTCCTGCGGAACTGAGTGGAGGTCTTTGATCTTTAGGATTTCTTAAGATTTGTCCTATCTTTTTGGGTGGTTTGAAGATAGTTCGGATATTGTGTTTGTTTAATATCCTGTCAATCCGATCTGTTCCTTTGACATATGGGAGGATGGTTAGGATCCTTTCGTCTGGTTGTGTGTCAAAGACCGTTGTCTTGTTTGCATGTTTATTGATTATTTTGGTTATGTCTTTTTTGTCGTGTCCGTTTTTCTGTAAGGCCAGTTTGAGGTGGTTGAGTTCTGTCTGTAGATGTTCTTTGTCAGAGATGGTGAAAGCTCTATGTACTAGTGAGTTGATTGCTGACTGTTTTTGTGCTGGGTGGTGGTGCGACTCGGCATGTAGATATCTGTCTGTGTGTGTTGGTTTTCTGTACACTTGATGGCCTAAAGTACCGTCAGCTTTCTTAGAGACAAGAACATCTAAGAAAGGGAGTTTTCCGTTTCCCTCTATGTCTATAGTGAAGTGGATATTTGGATGTTGTTTGTTGAGGAAAACAAGGAATTTACGTAGTTCGGCACTGCCGTGTCTCCATACCACGAATATGTCGTCTACATAACGGAACCAAATTTCTGGTTTTTTTGGTGTTTTTCTGAGGGCCTCTTTCTCAAAATGCTCCATGAAGATGTTGGCGATTACAGGAGAAATAAGAGAGCCCATCACCGCTCCTGAAGTTTGTTCATAAAATTGGTTGTTATAGGAGAAATAAGTGGTTGTTAAGCATTGCTCCATTAGCGGGATGAGGTCGGGAGGGACTTCATGTGAGGCCTTCATTATGTTTAATGTGTCTTTTATTGGGACTTGTGTGAAAAGGGATTCTACGTCGAAACTTACAAGCAGGTCTGTGGGACGTAGTCGGATTTTTTGAATCTTTTGTATGAAGTCCGTTGAGTTGGTTATGTGTGATTCGATTTTTCCAGTGAGGGGTTGTAATGTTCGTGCTAGGAAGCGCGATAAGTTGTATGTCTGGGAGTGTATGGCGCTAACAATCGGTCTGAGCGGGATGTTTGATTTGTGTACTTTCGGTGTAGTCCGTATAGTCTTATTATGGCGCTAACAATCGGTCTGAGCGGGATGTTTGATTTGTGTACTTTCGGTAGTCCGTATAGTTTTGGCGGGAGAGGATTTGTAGGTTTTAATGTTGATTTTGTTTCGTTGGGAATGTTGCTTTTCTCCACTAGGATCTTGGTGTTCTGTGTGATTGTGTTGGATCTCTGTCAAGCTTTTTGTATGCTTTGTCCGAGAGACGGTTCTTTATCTTTTTCTTATAATCTGATGTGTTCATGACTTATACTGTTGTGTTGCCTTTGTCGGCTGGAAGCACGATGATGTCTGTGTCCCTGTTCAGATCTTGGAGGGCCAATCGCTCTTGTCTAGTGATGTTTGGTGGAGGTTTGGCTTTGAAAAGGATATTGGTTACCTATCTGCGGATATTATCTGCTTGTTCTGATGGGAGTTGGTAGATGGTTGGCTCTATTTGGCTGATAATTTCTTCCTTTGGAACCTTTCTAGGTACCACTGCGAAGTTAGGGCCTTTGGCAAGTGCAGTATAGTGTTTTGAGACAGATCTTTGTTGGATAGGTTCTTGACGTTGAGTAGAGAAGGTTGTGGATTTTTGTGAGGGACGAGGTTTATGTATTTCTGTTTCTGTCTTTCACAGGATTGTGTGAGGGTCTTCGCGGCTTGTTCGTACGTAATGCGATCTAGGGTTTGCCAGATGTCATGCTGCAACATGACGGATAGAAATAGGTGAAGTTTTAAGGTTTTATGGGAGATCTGGGATATTTGTGACTTAGTGAAGTGGATGCATTCTTTGATAAGGATTAGGCTGGCTTTATGAAGGATGTTTTTAAATTTGTGAAGTTTGAATATTTTTGGATTTATGAAGGTTATTGAAGACCGACCAATTCTTTCCCCTCCCACAATCCCTTCCCCTTCTCCGCCCATCCCCACCACCCCAACAAGCAGCGTAATATAAAAAGGAACGGCCTGGAGGAACAGCTCAGTATCAGGCTGCCCCTCGCTCTGATAAAGTGGACCTCAAGGTTCACGAAACGTTGGCATCTTAAGAATGGACCTGGACACGGAGGAAACCCGCGAAACGCATAACCTTTACACAGAAAGCACCCGCGGAAGCCTCAAGAATTTGTAGTATAAACTTTATAATGTAAAAAGTCACTGTCATTGTCTATTAAACCACGCTTGGCCATGCCTAGTATGTATCTGTAATACCCTGTACAACTTTGCTTCCGCCGTTTTTTTCCGAAATTCGAGGCTTTATTGTAAAAAACTGGTTATACATTTATGATTCAAAAACATATTGTCCGTCGCTGGCCACTACTTTCTCCCATCCTTCGGGCAGCGTACAAATCCCGCGTCGAAAAAACTGGGCATCTTTCGAGACGATCCATGAATCGATCCAATTTTTTACTTCTTCATAAGACCGGAAGTACTAGTCAGTCAGGCCATGTGCCATTGATCGAAACAAGTGATAATCAGAGGGAGCATGGCGGGTGGGGTAGGACTTCCCATTTCAACGTTTCCAAGTATGTCTTGACCACTTTCGCAACATGGGGTCTAGCATTGTCATGCTGTAAAATCACTTTATCGTGTCTCTCGTTGTATCGCGACCGTTAGTCTTTCAATGCTCGGCTCAAACGCATCAATTACGTTCGATACCGATCGCCTGTGATTGTTTCAGTTGGTTTTAACAACTCATAATACACTACGCCGAGCTGGTCCCATCAAATACAGAGCATGGCCTTGGAGTCGTGAATATTCGGTTTGGCCGTCGACGTGGAAGCATGGCCGGGAACTCCCCATGATTTTCTGCACTTGGGGTTAACGTAATGAACCCATTTTTTGTCCCCAGTCACAATGCGATGCAGAAATTCCTTCCGTCTTTGCCTTTCAAGCAGCTGTTCACAAGTAAACGAACGCGGTTCAACATATCTCGGCTTCAACTCGTACGGCACCGAATTTCCTTGTTTCTGAATCATTCCCATGGCTTTGAGGCGTTTTAAAATGGCTTGTTGAGTCACTCCCAATGATCGTTCCAATTCTTCTTGATTTTGACACGAGTCTTGATCAAATAATGCCTCCAATTCTGCATCTTCGAAACCTTCTCTCTTCCACCGCTATGCCGGTCTTCGCTATGTCAAAATCACCGTTCTTAAAGCGTTGAAACCACTCACGACACGTTCTTTCACTAATAGCGGCCTCACAGTAAGTATTTGAGAGCATTGGATGAGCCTCAGCCGCAGATTTCTTCATATTGAAGCAGAAAATTAAAACCTCCCGCAAATGACGAGAATTTGGCTCGTAAACTGACATTTTCAATCGAGAATAACTTTATGATGCAGACACAAATCAACTAATGTTTCTATGGGGTTGACAGATGCCCAAGTTTATTGTATGACGTCTATGATCTATTTATTTCGACCACCACTTACTGCTAAAGCTATCTATAGGAAAACGGCGGAAGCAAAGTTGTACACCTAATAGACTAGTGATATCATAGTGGTGATATCATACTTCCACCATGAGTGATATAAATCAACTGACTTTATGTTTTACTTCGTAGATTTACTTAACAGATTTAAAACTATTATCGCAAAGAGGGGTAAAATTTTAAATAAATTGGAATGTTTGGAATAATAAAAATTTGCAAGGAGATCAGGAGTTGGAAATCCATGGTGTAAACCAAGATCATGTACCTATATTTTTCGAGATTTGAGATGTGGAGCTGTTGGTGGACTCACAGAGAGGCACACAGACTCCGCCGAAGAGCGTGGTGGATGAAGGTGGCGTGAAGCACCACTTCCGGGATAGGTAAAGAAAGAGAGCTAGTAGGAGCACTACGAAACCGGCAACGGCACCCAAAACTGCAGTCGCTTCCACAGGTACTGAAACATATCGAGAAATTCCCATCGGATTCAACATAATTTGTTATAAGAGACGTAATTTTTATAAAATCTTTTTAAAGAATATACGTAAAATTTTTTTTAATATGTAAAATTTTTTAAAAGATATGTACAATTTTTCTTTAGAGGCATAATATATATTACTTTTAAATATAAAATATAAACAAAAGTTCTTAATAATAAACATCTTTTTTTTATATTTTATATAAAAAATATACATATACGGTCTAAAATAAAGATATTGTTTAGATTACGTCGCCTGAAAGACGTTGTTTCCTTAGTGTACCGATTATTGCGAAGAATATTACTAAGGCCTCGGTGGTCTAATGGTTTAGGACGCTCGTACGCAATACAAGAGATCCAGGTTCAAGTCCCGGCCTAGATAATATTTTTCGCAATAAATTTATTAAATTTTTATTACCAGTTTTAATATATTAATATCTTTATAATATATGATGCTTAATGGTAGCATCAAATTATTAAATTGCTTGTCAATTTAATTCGCGATTACTAGAG